TTTTCTTTCTTTTTTGCTACGAAACCAATGGCCATCAACTTGCTTTATTCGGTCTGGGTCTGGAGGCTTTAGCGCCTCAAGACTGATAGCTCTTTTTACTTATAAGTAAATTAGGCAAAATTGCCCGTAATATCATGACCTTTTCCGAAATTGCAATTTAATCACGATTTTTTTGCTTTTGCAATTTGTATCACAATCTTCTTCAGTTTGTTGCAAATCGGTGCACGGGTTCTGAAAACCAACCCTAATGTTGCCGAAGAACAAACTGAAATTTGAGATCCAGTTTACACGGGTTCTGCAAATCGATGCTCTGATTTGCAACAAACTAAAGATTGTGATATAATTTGAAAAAGTGAAAAGGTCGTGACTAAATTGCAATTTCGGAAAAGGTCACAATTTTGCCTATAAATTAGTAATCTCTTGTGTCGATTGGTTGTAGCAGTCTTTAACGATACTGGGATTACTGTATGATGTACCCTTGAGGTTTCGCCTAATTACAATAAAACACAATTGGCTTTTTAGAAATTGAAAATCCTGCAATCATATGAACTTACAATTACAAATAAATAAAATTCTAAGCCCTTTTGCACATTCATGAAAAGATGTATAGTTAGCCCCCTGATTATAACACTAAATCAAACCTTAGGGTATTCTTTTTTCTTAAAAAAAAATCAAATTTACCTTTTTTTTTCATGTAATTTGGTCAATGCCTCATCTATAGTCTCTGTGATTAATTAATCTTTATGCATATTAGTTGTAGTAAATCTTTATATTTTACGGCTCATTCTTTCCCACGCTCAGTGTCGGATAGATCTAGAAAGCACTAGATTGCTTGTTTTAGAAGCCGCAGACCAGCTCGACAGGCTTGGGAACAAAAAGGCTCGTGGGACCATTGCCATGGCCAAGGTACTAATCCCAATGCGCATATATCCTATCATCTGTTTGGTATTTTCCCTTTTGCATCCTTATGTACCAACATTTTTATCAACCCGAACAGGTTGCAGCTCCAAACATGGCCCTAAGAGTGCTCGACATGGCCATGCAAGTGCACGGTGCAGCCGGTGTATCTGGGGACACCGTGTTGGCCCACCTTTGGGCCACTTCACGAACATTAAGAATTGCCGATGGCCCTGATGAGGTTCACTTGGGAACTATCGGGAAATTAGAGCTTAGAAGAGCCAAGCTTTAAACGATGATCGATTTTCCTTTTCGTTTTTAATAAATTGGTAATAATGTCGTAGAAAATTTGTTGTTTGTAATGTGCCAAATGCCAATGAGCTTTTGGTGAAAGTTAGAAATAAAAGAATTGAGAACTATATGTATAGACGTGCACTGTATAAGGCTATTGTTAAGCGACATTTGTTTGCAAGAATGTCATATTCTAAAAATAATATAAATAAAAATACGATATTTCATAGTATAAGTATGTATTTTTTTTTTAAAAATTATTAACGAGTCGACCAGACTAATGGTTAGATCGGCCAAACCAAGAATTTGTCCATAGTTTAAAATCATATATATCATCTTATTCATTTTTATGGAATGAATCATGATTTTGAAGCATGATATCTCATTCCATGCACAAGGTATAAAGAGTGTAAGATTCTTAAATTTAAGTAATAACACTAAGCAAATTAGTGGTAGTAGCAAAAATAAAAATAAAATATAGTGAAGTTCTCCTAAAAAATGGAATACATTGTTGTTGTTTACTAGGCTCAATTAGAAAACTAACATAGAATCTACAAGAGAATATATATATGAGCAAAATTTTAACATAATCATAAGTAGTTAAAAAGTCATGCAAACCAAAAATAAAAGTTGACTATTTCAAAACAAATTCAAACCAATAACAAAATGTCAAAAAAAA